GGCAGCTGTCAGTTGCTGGGATGTGACAGTCTCTGCCAAGCTTACTGAACTATTGATGTAGGCAGCTGTCAGTTGCTGGGATGTGGCAGTCTCTGCCAAGCTTACTGAACTATTGATGTAGGCAGCTGTCAGTTGCTGGGATGTGACAGTCTCTGCCAAGCTTACTGAACTATTGATGTAGGCAGCTGTCAGTTGCTGGGATGTGGCAGTCTCTGCCAAGCTTACTGAACTATTTATGTAGGCAGCTGTCAGTTGCTGGGATGTGACAGTCTCTGCCAAGCTTACTGAACTATTGATGTAGGCAGCTGTCAGTTGCTGGGATGTGGCAGTCTCTGCCAAGCTTACTGAACTATTTATGTAGGCAGCTGTCAGTTGCTGGGATGTGACAGTCTCTGCCAAGCTTACTGAACTATTGATGTAGGCAGCTGTCAGTTGCTGGGATGTGACAGTCTCTGCCAAGCTTACTGAACAGACAGACAGACAGACAGACAGACAGACAGACAGACAGACAGACAGACAGACAGACAGACAGACAGACAGACAGACAGACAGACAGACAGACAGACAGACAGACAGACAGACAGACAGACAGACAGACAGAAAGAAAGAAAGAAAGACAGAAAGACAGAAAGACAGAAAGACAGAAAGAAAGAAAGAAAGAAAGAAAGAAAGAAAGAAAGAAAGAAAGAAAGTAAGAAAGAAAGAAAGAAATAAAGAAAGAAAGAAAGAAAGAAAGAAAGAAAGAATGACAGACAGACAGACAGACAGACAGACAGACAGACAGACAGACAGACAGACAGACAGACAGACAGACAGACAGACAGACAGACAGACAGACAGACAGACAGACAGACAGACAGACAGACAGACAGACACAGACAGACAGACAGACAGACAGACAGACAGACAGACAGACAGACAGACAGACAGAAAGAATGAAAGAAAGAAAGAAAGAAAGAAAGAAAGAAAGAAAGAAAGAAAGAAAAGAAAGAAAGAAAAGAAAGAAAGAAAGAAAGAAAGAAAGAAAGAAAGAAAGAAAGAAGAAAGAAAGAAGAAAGAAAGAAAGAAAGAAAGAAAGAAAGAAAGAAAGAAAGAAAGAAAGAAAGAAAGAAAGAAAGAAAGAAAGAAAGAAAGAAAGAAAGAAAGAAAGAAAGAAAGAAAGAAAGAAAGAAAGAAAGAAAGAAAGAAAGAAAGAAAGAAAGAAAGAAAGAAAGAAAGACAGACAGACAGACAGACAGACAGAAAGAAAGACAGACAGACAGACAGACAGACAGAAAGAAAGACAGACAGAAAGACAGACAGAAAAAAAACATCCTAAATCTTCACTCTTCATCTTCACAACCTTCAACCTTGATTGCTGAGATTTTGATTATTTCACAGCAGCATTACAACAGCTGTCCTACAATAAGATATCAACAGTGACAACCTTTACTGTACTGCCCTGTACTATGCAGAAGAAATACCTAACTGCTCAGGTTAAAGGTCTTAAGTCGTAATTCAGCCAGCATTGAAATTGCCAGATAATTGTCACTGAATATAAGATTTGGAGCTAAGCCAAATCTCTAGTAAGTATCTATAAATTCAGCTATCTGAGGTCGCAGTTCTGTTAGGTTTTTATCAGTAATAAATACCACCAAAGATTGACCTTATCTCTTAAGCAAATATAAAGGGGCTGTTAATCTGATTTGTTTTACAGTTTCAGTGTTCGCTTCCTAATATCTATATATATATGTATTTGTGTGAATCATACTTTACCTGAGGTTAGGTGAACCATAGCTCATTAGGTTGCTAGTTATTACCCTGATGTTTGGTGAAACATAGTTCATTAGGTCGCTTGTTACTACCCTGATGTTTGGTGAAACATAGTTCATTAGGTTGCTTGTTACTACACTGATGTTTGGTGAAACATAGTTCATTAGGTTACTTGTTACTACCCTGATGTTTGGTGAAACATAGTTCTTTAGGTTGTTAGTTATAACCCTGATATTTGGTGAAAAATAGTTCTTTAGGTTATTATAACCCTGATCTTTGGTGAAACATAGTTCTTTAGGTTGTTAGTTATAACCCTGATGTTTGGTGAAACATAGTTTTTTAGGTTGTTAGTTATTACCCTGATGTTTGGTGAAACATAGTTCTTTAGGTTGTTAGTTATAACCCTAATATTTGGTGAAACATAGTTCATTAGGTTGCTAGGTACTACCCTGATGTTAGGTGAAACATAGTTTATTAGGTTGCTAGTAATTGCCTTGATGTCAGTAAAAAAAACATGACTTTAGGTTCCTAGATATTACCCTGATGTCAGGTGAAACATAGTTAATTAGGTTCCTAGTTATTACCCTGATGTCAGCTGAAACATAGTTCATTAGGTTCCTAGATATTACCCTGATGTCAGCTGAAACATAGTGCATTATGTTTCTAGTTATTACCCTGATGTCAGCTGAAACATAGTTCATTAGGTTCCTAGTTATTACCCTGATGTCAGCTGAAACATAGTTCATTAGGTTCCTAGATATTACCCTGATGTCAGCTGAAACATAGTTCATTAGGTTCCTAGTTATTACCCTGATGTCAGCTGAAACATAGTTCATTAGGTTCCTAGATATTACCCTGATGTCAGCTGAAACATAGTTCATTAGGTTCCTAGATATTACCCTGATGTCAGCTGAAACATAGTGCATTAGGTTCCTAGTTATTACCCTGATGTCAGCTGAAACATAGTTCATTAGGTTCCTAGATATTACCCTGATGTCAGCTGAAACATAGTTCATTAGGTTCCTAGATATTACCCTGATGTCAGCTGAAACATAGTGCATTAGGTTCCTAGTTATTACCCTGATTTGAGGTCAAACTCAGCTGTGAATACCAGACCACTCAGCCTGGTTTATTGGTGTGACCCTGGCTCACCGTGACCTTTGAGCTCAGTGTCTTTCCTCAGCTGTCATTTCAATACTTTTTGTCAAGAATGTTACCATAGTTACCTTTGTCTTATTGTCTTATTATGTAAACCCTAAACATTTATTACTTAAAGCAACAAGTGCTTCAGAAAAGAGGAAATGCACACACACACAAAAACATGTCCGAGACTAAAAAAATTAATTTAAATCAGTACTAGTAAACCTAGGGGCCATCATGGTGTAGTGGTTAAATGCTCACCTGTGGATCGGAAGGTCATAGGTTCAAGTCCTGACAGAGTGAGAATTTTTTTCAAAAATTATCATGTCGACCTAGCCTTAAATTGGTACCAAGTTCAATTCTGGGAAGTAAAGGTGGCCAGTGTGATGCTGTCCTCACTATCCACTGAGTGCTGAGTGGTCTAGAAAATATAGGTCTAGCCCTATATGCCCAATACGCTTGAAGGCATGGGAGAGGGTCCTTTACTCTAATGTTAAATGTACCAGAAACTTTTGGAAAGAAAGAAAAAAATAATTCAGTCAAAAACATTCTTTTACTCTTCCAGTACCAAGCCTCATATGATTTGCTTTTTTTTTCTTTGCATCCAAACCTTGGTGTAATGTGTTTGTGTGGGTTTTTCCCCTCAACTTTTGTTCAACAGAATCACAAAAGTGGGGCCTAGTAAGAGACCCAAGCAGGTTACAGCTAACAAAGATTCAGGAGAAGACAGCAACATGTACTGAGAAAACTTGATAATAGCACAACTAGAATCAATCTTGCTTATATTGATACATATTCTTACATTATTATAATTCTTTATTTCTTATACTGTCATTTGTTGAGCGGCTGTTCAGTCTTTCCATACAGATCTTTCTCCGCCTCTTGTCTAGTACACAGCCATTTTTTACACCAGGGCTGCAGTGTGCAAATGATGCTAGAATTGTTTTGTTACGATCAGTTCTGCACACGGTGGGTGACCTCAGCATCATGCTGACTGCCTTTACTTCCCAGATATTTTTGGGGTACCCTTTTAGGCTTGCTCAGTCGAGGAGCCAATGTCAGTTTTTAAGAACCACTCTGCTCATGGCAGACTTGAAACAAAGACCTTAGGGCTAGCAGGTGAGTGTCTAACCGCTGTTTCCGTGGCTCCCTTGACTTGTCTGTTTTCTAGCTTTACACCATATCAGGTTCATTCCTCCATTCCAACTTTTATGTTGAAACGCTACACAGATTTCATTTATCTTTTTTTTTCTAAGTTTTTTCTTGTCGTCTTAAATTGGGACTCACGAGCAGCAGCTACCGCATCTCCTGCAGCTTTCTTCATTTTATTTGCTCGTGAGTCCTAGCCATCTAGTTTAACCCCAATCCACACCGTGTGAGCGGCGTGGAGGATACTCTCGGCGGTAGCGTTATAGTCCCCGGAAGTGCGCAATATACACGTGATTAAGCCCCTGTTAGGGTATATTTTCCGCCTCGATAATTTAGGACCGTTATTCGTAGGATATCCTTTTTTTTTATGAAAAGTGTGATTGTGTAACACTCATAATTTTCGACATCTCACACTTTTTAGCTCTATTTTTTTAATATTCTAAGCATTCTAATCCTACTCAAAAGCAACACATCTTAAAGTCTCTCCGATGTCTTCACCATTTCATTATTCACTGCACATCATTACCTTTTAACTAGAATTGAATAACAAAATGAATGAAACAACAATCTGTTGTCCAGACTCAAGTCTAGACAACTCTAAGTTACTGAGCCATGATCACCAGTCATTTGAAAGAGAATCTACAAACAAAGTAAAGTTACTGACTGACAACTAGTCACTACTCTACTCACTCTTAGTCTTACTTACATGTCTTTCCTTGATGTTCTCTCCTGGCGCTAGTGCAGCCAGTCGTGTTTTGTTTTTATCGGCACTTTTCAGCCGGTCTCTTGCACTAGCTTGTGGATCCACCGACATTTTAATACAATAAATTAGCAAATATTTCAATAAATGTCGGTAAAACTCGATCCAATTATTAATTGAATTAAAGAGGCGCACAAAGTTAGGAGCGCGCTAGTGCCCGGCGTCCATCTTGGAATGTTTACACGTTTCCATGATACCAATGGGCGGCACCCGGCTGTGTTTACACCTACAAGTTGGGGCCAGTGTTGGAAGACTTGGGCCCCTTCGCGCTTTAACGACACCTGCACGACGGGCCCACGGCGTCTAACAACACCCACGGTCTGCATGCGTGTGTTTTTGCTCTCAACCCTGGCCAGCCAAAGACTAGGAACTACTACTGGCTTTAGAAAACGTGGAGTTCTAGTGTGTCTCACAGGGTTGTGTTTAAGGTGAAACTCCATGACAACGACAGTGATAATATTGGTATCAAAGTAAATGCCATAGACCGACACAGTACTTGCAGATTAATGTAACTGTTACACTGCTTGTATTTGCTTAATTTTCTATATTTGTTTCTACCTTTATATTATCTTAGTATCTGTTATTTCCGTATTTTATATTTACTCCCCCCCCCCCCTCCTCGCCCCTTTTTCAGTCACATATTTCACCTTCAATTATTTTCTGTTTATTTTGGTTATTTCATCATTGCGACCTCCCTTTTGTGTGTATTCTTTCTAGTTGTGTATGTGTCTTCTTTTTGAAACTACTGCCTTTTCTTGTTCTTAATTACTTATTTATTTCAATCAGGTGTCGTCACCGCGGTGAAGGTGGAGACAGTTGACCTCCAACACTTGTGGTTTCTTGTCTTGGTTGTAGACTCTCTCCGACTGCGGTTCTACCATTTATATGGCGGGATTCCATTTGCCTTTCCTTTTAGTATATTTTCACAAGGATGGTATGATTTTTGGTGTGACCGAAAACCCTAAAGCGACTCATCAATGTCTTTGTTTTTTTAATAATGTAAATAGGTTCCCATATTTCTCTGACAATGAATCCTCCCCGCCCAAGACAGTAGTGGGTTCACCGAAGTAGTATTTGCTCTCACTGTTAGGCTGCCTTAATTAAAACTCTGGCAGACGTTGCACGGGGTATGTTGGTCCACTGCCTTCTCTAATGTATATCTAGAGTTGGCAGTGGTTGGTCCTATCTGATTAGACCTAATGTTTCCTTTGGGGTTAAACCACTGGCCTAGCGTAGGTGGGTTCGTTTGTTTGTTTGTTTGTTTTAGTATCCAGAAGCCATGAGTTGTTAACCCTTAGGCTCGGTATTATGGACATCGCAACCTTTCGGCCTTGATTCCATTTTAAATACCGTAAATCTGGGAGAAATGTGGCTTTCCTGCCTACCCCCGGGATTGAACCCGGACCACAAGGAGTACGTCACCCGGTCTCCGCGAAATCCGGTTTAGCCAATTCCGCTAGAGAGCGGGGCGTGGGTTCGTTTCACCGACTGTGTCCTTCGGCTCCCGAACGCGGTTTTTATGAAGATCCCTAAACCCCACTGGAATTATCAAGTTCGTGAACTGTGCGATGTTCTCAAAGTCGGCTGGTAATTCAGCGGAGATACACCTGGCTATGTGAGACCCGACAGCTGGCACTTGGAGGTCAAGCATTTCGACTGTAAATTGTGCCTCATTTGACTGACATCCCGGGGGTGGCTCATTAGGTCGCCAGACTGCCAGGTAGCAGACGGGGAAGGATTCAGTTCGATCACATTAGTGGCAAGAGCCTAAACACTCACAAAAGACGCTACCTCGCACATCCATGTCAGGATATTTGGGTACAGACAGAAAATAAAACGTTGAACTAAGATAGTTTAGGAAGAAAAGATCACTCTTCAGTAATCGACAACGTGGTAAGTTGCAGATTGTGTACCTTGTGTGTTAATCAAATTGTATGTGTGTGGAAGGTGTGGTCACGCCTGGCAGTGCAACCAGTAGTGCTAGATCTCCTTCTTCTTCTGCCTTTCTATCCCCCAATGGAGGATAGGCCCTCAGCCAACTCACGCCAAGTCGTTCTATCCTTCGCCATTACATGGAGCTCCTCCCATGTCCTCCCCATCTTCCTAACTTCATTCTCCAGCTCTCTTCACCGTCTGTTTTTTGGCCTTCCTTTATTCCTATACCTCTGTGAGTTCCAATGCAAAGACATTCTAGTTATGCTGTTCTCCTGTTTTCTCAGTATGTGTCCTATCCAACGCCAGCGTATTTTTCTCACCTTTTGGTCCACTGGAGCCTGTTTAGTTCTCTCCCAAAGCTCTACATTGTTATTCTATCTCACCATATCATACCTCTATTCTACGCAGGCACCAGTTAATGAATGTATGCAATTTATTAGTAATTGCCTTAGTTGTTCTCCGTGTGTCCGCCCCATACAAAAGTACTGATTTGACATTAGAATTAAAAAATGTTTAATTTAGTCTAGCTCTCCTAGGAGGGTGAAAATTGAAAATTAGTAGCCTGCTGTTGTCCCGTGAACGCACAAGCCACCCCACCTCCCCCTGGTGCAGACCGGAAACTGTATCCGCGAGGATACAGGCGAACGGGGAAACGGCCACCTGGAGAGGAGTGGGCCCCGCCAGGGTTGAAATACTGCCCGAGACTAACCATGCTGTTGAAAAGTCGAAAAATGCAATGGTATGGACATGTAATACGATCTAACGGCCTCTCAAAAACTATACTGCAGGGAAAGAGGAGAAGAGGCAGACCAGGAAAGACCTGGTTACAGAACCTGACTGACTGGACAGGCCTCAGGCATGCAACAATGAAATCCATCGCAACCGACCGCCAAAGGTAGAGAGAGATGATCAGACAGTCAACAGAAACTGGCGACCCAACGATACGTAGTGTTACGGAATGATGATGATGATGTGATAAAGTAGTCACTTGTCAAATAACGTTGCGTTAATCATCCACCCTAAAATAGGACGCAATTTTAAAAAAATACTTTTAAAGCCCCATCGCAATTGTCGCGGGGCCCTAAATACGGGTTATCTGGGACTTGCGCCCGTTCGATTCCTATCCGAATGGGGGAACTTTGTGTCACCCAGTGTTCTGTGGCTAGTTGTGCGGTCCTGGTGCGGTTGAAAGTCAGTCAGTCAATTAAAGTTGTGCACAAACGAAAGCACAGCAACCTGTATGGTTGTTTCCTTGGAGGCTGAACAAGGTATCTGGAATTTGCTTCTCTGATTTTTCATTCAGGAGGAAACTCTTGCAGTCGCAATGGTAATTAAACCTTCAAGCATAAGCCTAGAGGGAGAGAACATACAGACAAAGCTATAATGGCATTGCAGTCATGCGTCCACTATAACCACATATACAGTCATATTTTTCATTCTCTACCACAACAACATATACAGCCATATCATCACCCTCTACCATAACCTCATATACAGCCATATTGTCAACCTTAACTACAACCACATAAACAGTCATATCGTCACATTCTACTATAACCACATATACAGCCATATTGTCGCCTTCTACCATAACCACATATACAGCCATATCGTCGCCTTCTACCATAACCACATATACAGCCATATCGTCGCCTTCTACTATAACCACATATACAGCCATATTGTCGCCTTCTACTATAACCACATATACAGCCATATTGTCGCCTTCTACTATAACTACATATACAGCCATATCGTCGCCTTCTACTATAACTACATATACAGCCATATTGTCGCCTTCTACTATAACCACATATACAGCCATATTGTCGCCCTCTACCATAACCACATATACAGCCATATTGTCGCCCTCTACCATAACCACATATACAGCCATATTGTCGCCCTCTACCATAACCACATATACAGCCATATTGTCGCCCTCTACCATAACCACATAAACAGCCATATTGTCGCCTTCTACTATAACCACATATACAGCCATTTTGTCACCTTCTACTAAAACCACATATACAGCCATATTGTAGCCTTCTACTATAACCATATATACAGCCATAGAGTAGCATTCTACCATAACCACATATACAGCCATATTGTTGCCTTCTACTATAATCACATAAACAGCCATATTGTCGCCTTCTACCATAACCACATATACAGCCATATTGTAGCCCTCTACCATAACCACATATACAGCCATATTGTCGCCCTCTACCATAACCACATATACAGCCATATTGTCGCCCTCTACCATAACCACATATACAGCCATATTGTCGCCTTCTACTATAACTACATATACAGTCATATTGTCGCCCTCTACCATAACCACATATACAGCCATATGGTCGCCCTCTACCATAACCACATATACAGCCATATTGTCGCCCTCTACCATAACCACATAAACAGCCATATTGTCGCCTTCTACCATAACCACATATACAGCCATATTGTCGCCTTCTACTATAACAACATATACAGCCATGTTGTCGCCTTCTACTGTAACCACATATACAGCCATATTGTCACCTTCTACTAAAACCACATATACAGCCATATTGTAGCCTTCTACTATAACCATATATACAGCCATAGAGTAGCATTCTACCATAACCACATATACAGCCATATTGTTGCCTTCTACTATAATCACATAAACAGCCATATTGTCGCCTTCTACCATAACCACATATACAGCCATATTGTAGCCCTCTACCATAACCACATATACAGCCATATTGTCGCCCTCTACCATAACCACATATACAGCCATATTGTCGCCCTCTACCATAACCACATATACAGCCGTATTGTCGCCTTCTACTATAACTACATATACAGTCATATTGTCGCCCTCTACCATAACCACATATACAGCCATATGGTCGCCCTCTACCATAACCACATATACAGCCATATTGTCGCCCTCTACCATAACCACATAAACAGCCATATTGTCGCCTTCTACTATAACCACATATACAGCCATATTGTCGCCTTCTACTATAACAACATATACAGCCATGTTGTCGCCTTCTACTGTAACCACATATACAGCCATATTGTCGCCTTCTACTATAACTACATATACAGCCATATTGTCGCCTTCTACTATAACCACATATACAGCCATATTGTAGCCTTCTACCATAACCACATATACAGCCATATTGTCGCCTTCTACTATAATCACATAAACAGCCATATTGTCGCCTTCTACCATAACCACATAAACAGCCATATTGTAGCCTTCTACTATAATCACATAAACAGCCATATTGTCGCCTTCTACCATAACCACATATACAGCCATATTGTCGCCTTCTACTATAACTACATATACAGCCGTATTGTCGCCCTTTACCATAACCACATATACAGCCATATGGTCGCCCTCTACCATAACCACATATACAGCCATATTGTCGCCCTCTACCATAACCACATAAACAGCCATATTGTCGCCTTCTTCTATAACCACATATACAGCCATATTGTCGCCTTCTACTATAATAACATATACAGCCATATTGTCGCCTTCTACTATAACCACATATACAGCCATATCGTCGCCTTCTACTATTACCACATATACAGCCATATTGTCGCCTTCTACTATAACTACATATACAGCCATATTGTCGCCCTCTACCATAACCACATATACAGCCATATTGTCGCCTTCTACTATAACTACATATACAGCCATATTGTCTCCTTCTACTATAACCACATATACAGCCATATTGTCGCCTTCTACTAAAACCACATATACAGCCATATTGTAGCCTTCTACTATAACCATATATACAGCCATATTGTAGCCTTCTACCATAACCACATATACAGCCATATTGTCGCCTTCTACTATAATCACATAAACAGCCATATTGTCGCCTTCTACCATAACCACATAAACAGCCATATTGTCGCCTTCTACCACAACCACATATACAGTCATATTGTCGCATTCTACCATAACCATATATACAGCCATATTGTCGCGTTCTACCTCAACCACATATACAGCCATATTGTCGCCTTCTACCATAACCACATATACAGCCATATTGTCGCCTTTTACTATAACCACATATACAGCTATCTTGTCGCCTTCTACTATAACCACATATACAGCCATATCGTCGCCTTCTACTTCAACCACATATACAGCCATATTGTCGCCTTCTACCACAACCACATTTACAGCCATATTGTCGCATTTTACCATAACCACATATACAGCCATATCGTCGCCTTCTACTTCAACCACATATACAGCCATATTGTCGCCTTCTACCACAACCACATATACAGCCATTTTGTCACCTTCTACTATAACCACATATACAGCCATATTGTCGCCTTCTACCATAACCACATTTACAGCCATATTATCAACCTTAACTACAACCACATATACAGCCATATTGTCGCCTTTTACTATAACCACATATACAGCCACATTGTCGCCTTTTACTATAACCACATATACAGCCATATCGTCGCCTTCTACTTCAACCACATATACAGCCATATTGTCGCCTTCTACCACAACCACATATACAGCCATTTTGTCACCTTCTACTATAACCACATATACAGTCATATTGTCGCCTTCTACCATAACCACATATACAGCCATATTATCAACCTTAACTACAACCACATATACAGCCATATTGTCGCCTTTTACCACAACCACATATACAGCCATATTGTCGCCTTCTACTATAACCACATATACAGCCATATCGTTACCTTCTACAACAACCACATATACAACCATATCGTCATCCTCTACCACAACCACTTATACAGCCTTATTCTACGTGGTGTTGTTTACACCACAGTGTTCTTCAACCTATAATGGACCGCCACACATTTCCTGAAAAGAAAAACAAATACGTTGACAGAGTTGTCTTTTGACGCCACTTCTGTGCTGTGTCAAATCAGTCCTTGTCTAAATGTTGGATTTCAGTGAAAAAGCAATGTCCATCTCTGAGTTATATTGCTTTCACACTGATTCTCATCTTTTCAAATTCTTATCTGTGTAGAAAGACTTTCTCAGTAATGTCAATAATACAAACCAAACAGACAAATCTAATGGATGTTATTGTAGATCTTCTCTGTCAGAAACAATGCTCCGGCCACGTTAATAAGATTTTCTAACATCTAAGCAGACGTTGCATTAACTGAAAATTTTAGTTTTTGAACAAATAAATTGCTACCTAAATTTGCTTTTATTTTAGTGGTTTGTTAGCTGTCAGGTGGGTCGCCAAACAATGTCTCATGTTTGGGTTGGTCCCGGATGGGTCCTGGAAAAGGTTCAGAAACTCTGGTTTTTGCACTGTTTTGTCAGGAAATTTCGTACTAGTCTGTTACTAACAATAGCATCAAGATTAGCAGATCATATGTACATTGTTATATCCTACAGAATCAAATTACAAGCCTACTAGTGTGTTCTTCCTTAGTTTATGGTGACATGGGAAAGGCAGATTTCTAAATCTGGCTTAACCTCAAGGCTGACCCAGTCGGAAATGGGAATTAGGAAATGTCCTTGTAAGTAAAAGTGAGCGGGGTGTTGACACAAAGGATCAGACAGCTTACACTTTTGCACATATCTGCCCCAATCTGGTCTGGACTGGTCGTTAGCAGAACGAAAATAAAAGTTCGATCTCGTTGAACCATTTCAGCTTCTCCGAAAGTAATATTCAAAGGCTCAGCCGTTCTTCGGCTACCCATGGTGTTTTCCTCTGGCACCACAGGTGTCGATTCAGTACTGAGTGTTGAATTAGGAATAGACATCACAGCACTCGGGACACTACTATAAGTGCTCAGTCTCCATCTTCAGTAGCAAGCGAAGAGTTCATTTTCCAATGGTACCAGTAACAGTCTGATTGTATATCCGTTTCATCCTTACCCTGAGTGTTAAGCGTCGGCTAGATCCCTTAGTAACTCCTCGCAGCGCCACTATCCTCAGACCGTAATGATCTATCTGTTCACCCGTTCCCAAAGGGCCCTGGCAATATCTAACTTGTCATAGATCAATTCACCACCAAGTGGTGCAGAGCCAGCCAGCTCAGTACTGACAGCAGCGTTCTCTCTAGTACTTGAAGCTGGTTGCTTGGCCACTCCTTTCTCTTTGCCTTATCTTGACATTTGGTCGTTTTCTTCAATCTTGCGATGTAGATTAGCAGTAGCCGTTGGTTCTGTTACAATATACTAAAAATGTATGTAGGTAGTACTCACTGTCCGCAGTTGTCTCCTTCTCCTGGTACTGCAACAGTCGGTATTACAATGGATAAACGATAAGCTCTCAATGAAGAATTGTCGTATTGAATACTAATCACTAAGACATCATCATCGAGGCCTCTGTCACTTCAGAAGCCGTTACTAGCGAGTCGTCTGATTGGTCAGATGTTGTATATCGCTTGCCCACCTACATGCCGTAATCTGGTGCACGTGCGCGCGTGTGAGAGAGAGTGTGTGTGCGCGCATGTGTGTGAGAGAGATAGGGAGAGATAGAGAGAATGTGTATGTGTGTGTGCTCGCGATGTACATGACCTGCCCCAGACCAGGCACATTGTACTGGATCATACTGCTGGGCGTCTGTTTGTGGCCAGGGAAATGATCAGCAATGTATTAAAAAAATTAAAAATGCAGACTTCTTCTTCCTTATCTCTTTTACAGCTTCGAGTGTCGCTGGAGATATAAGTGGATTGGATTTTTTACCCCATCAGGACATCACACAAGCGATAAACACCCGATGACACAAAGTGCCACCATGTGGATGAGTCCCAGAAACCGCGTTCAGACATTTGGCCATAATGATGACCTGCCTATATTGCGGCCCCTGGCAAAAGCCAAAGTGGGGCTTCAAATAACAAAAAATAACGTCCTAAGAAGGACGTAAGGAATGTGTAATTGAGATATAAGTTTCTGCTTCTTACTATTCTGACAGCCTTGACCGTAGACTCATCGTGTTTTTGTTCAGTTTCTCTGATGTTTCCTTTCCATATTGTTCTTGGTCTACCTCTTGCTCTACGTCACTATCCTCATTTAGTGTTTGCCCTGTATGATATTGTGTCATAAAACATTCTTGATTGCTGTATTCGTAATGTAGAATTGGTTCTGGGCCGACATTTTTTTTTTAACGACTTCACTCCTGAATTTATCTCCCCTAATTTCCTCCGCAGCCTTGTTCTCATCATTTATTTCCATGGCTACTAATTGTCTTGTCTGGTTGGTTGTGAAGGATACAGCTGCTTGTGTATATTATCTTCTGTAATACAAAACCCAAGAAGAGCAGTCTCAATTTTCCGCTTGCAAAATTTCAAATATTACACCTTCTACAATCATAATGTGCAGAAAATGCGCAGACGACAATTTTTACTTGATATAGAAGGTGAGGGGGGGGGGGGGTGGGTTTGCATGGTCTCGAGGTATGGCGACCGCCTCCAGTGCTTCAGACCCCGTTGAAGGCTGAAATTTGTGTACGTGGACTTCCCCTGGTATCTGGGCAGTTAAATCAGACACCCGTGTGTATTGCTGCGTACGTAAGAAATCCATGCGCTGTGATTCTAATGACCTAAGGGTGAGTAAGAAGTAGAACGGAATACTTATATGTTACAACCCTTGTGTCGTGATGTTGATCCTTTGTTTAAACCTTTGCTATTTTACGACATTTGTACCTTGAAGTGATATTCCCTGGTTGTGGTCTGTGTCAGGGAATTGGAGTATTTGTTTATATCGTTGTTAAAACAATGATTTTTTTAAACTTTCAGTATTCCACTTGTGGTTCCAGGGCATATGGGGAAGGGGCAGGAGAAATAAACCCACCGCCTCCCTATCAAGCAAGTCACAAAGGGCGACTAATTAGGGACGTGTCCTCTGGGATACTAGGAACTAACAGTCTGCATACAAATAAGCAAATCTGTAAAACGGATGTGCTGGCAAAATTCTAGTACTGAAATAAGACTAAAGTCCAGAAGTGGACGAACAACCAAGTTATAAGCCGATAAACACTAAGAAAGAGTAGAAGAAATGTCTGTGCGGGAAATATTCCTCGGCATTTGGCAATAGCAAGGTGTAGGATGTCTGGTGGCTGTCTTGGCACAATATTTTTATGAAGCAATTTCCCCACAACAGATTTTGACAGTTTAAGTGATTCACATGTCTCAATATAGCTGAGCTCCATCTGGTTAATTACCTACGTGTATTTTCACCAACCAGTCAAACAGTGACTCACAAATCTACCTACCGGTTACCACAGATGGGAGGTGGCAATCCCAGCCCGTCTCCATCAGATGCAACCGGCTTTGGTAATCCATACGTGATCACCGAACGATTGTGTTAAACAACGCGCATTTAGAATCACGGCTCGTCAACATTCGTTTAAACATACAAATTATTGCTTATAACGCTCCCCTTTTTGCTACTTTAGCTATGGGTGCACGCTTTTTTTTAGATCAACGGTGCCGGAAATAAAATAAAAATAAAAACAATTAAAACTTTCGAGCACCAAACACGACAGAAGTGTTGCGAAACATGAAAAAAACCCAAACATAACAAGCATACCAATGTGTATTTTTATTGCACTGTCAGGTGACATTTTAAAAAATAGCAACAGGCCAATTTACAGCCACTATCATCATCATCATCATCATAGGAATGTTTAATTCTATATGAGAAACCGGTCACGACAATCAATTGACTAATACTGCAGTGTTTTATAATTTACCCGCGAAATGTCGTTGCTAGGCGTTGTCCCCATCAATAGAGATCCCCCGAGACTTGGGTATCGAAGTATGACGTGTGGTGTTACAAAAGACAATCATTATTTTATACTTGCGGTCTTTGATTCCAGCGATTATAGGTTGCCGGATGTAGATGTGGCAGGATGGGTAAAAGACCAACAGATAAGCACTCAACATTTACTAAATAATTTAGCAGTCGCATAAAAATATTTTAAGTGTTTGGGAATTAGGAAAAATCCGATACTGTTGTAAGTACTTGGAATTGGAACAGTAAGCAGACTAAATGAGAAGAGGGGGGGGGGGGGAATTCGGGATAGAATTCACAAACAGCTCAGATGAACGGGCAACACATGTGACCGAGCGAAAAAGGTAAAAAGGTAAAGTCGGGAGATGTGAACCAGCGTCATTGCACATGGTTTTAAACCACAAGTTCTCTGCCACCAGTATGAGACCGAGTATGTGACTGAGCGAGACACAACTGATTCACCAAGGTGAATATTTGTTGTTTCCCCGTCTGTTTCCACTCTTCCGTTTTCCACATAATTCTTCTGCAATACTAAGCATAGTGTTTTTATATATACTCCATTCTTCCTCAATATTGCCAACTACATGTGGAAGTTGTTTGAATGCTGTCTCTACTTTCTGTTGTAACTGTTCTTTTACTCCTTCCTGTTTCAGATTTGCTATCTTGATGAGATCCTTGTTTTTGTTTAATTTCTTTCTGTGTTTCTTTAATGTAAGATGTTTTGCTGTTAACACACCTATTTTATGGTCAGTGTCACATAGACCATTAGGGATTGCTCTTGAATCAAGAATTCTCCTTCTTCCTTGAACTCTGGTAAGTATAAAGTCAATCTGGCTCTTGATGGAGATATCATTCCATTTGTACCAAGTGTAAAGTTGTGAATCTCTATGGTCAAATAGACTGGCTGCATAGATCCAATATTCTTTGACCATTTCCATTTCTAGCACTGTTCTTAGCTGCATATGGACCTAAAAACTGTTCGTATTCTCTTCTGTTATTTCCTACCCTCCCGTTGAAGTCACCCATTACATATAGTATGCTGCTTGCCTCAACTTTCTTTATCTTATCAGACAGATCGTCAAAGAATTCATCTTTCTGCTCTTCTGTA